TGACAAGGGATGTTTCTTTAGCTGACTACTGTACTGCTATAAGGTTTCAGAAAAACAGAAGGCAAATTTCAGTTAGGACACTGTTGCAATTAGTGCTTTCCTGGATGCAGCCCTTGACTGTATCAACCCATACTAAATCCACATGGCATGTGTGTGATGTGACAGAATTTAATCAACAGCTAAAAATTTGCAAAAAGAATGCAGTTAAAAAGTGGTGTTGTAACAGTGATGAACACCAGGGAAGCAGCAAGTCAGTGAATCTGCTGGTCTCATTGAAAATTAACCAAATTTCCTATTGATAAAAGGCTTTGAATGGGTATGTAGGAAATGTACTGAAGTACCTTGAGTTTGGGTTCTTGCCTTTCTGTTGAAGGTCCCTGAACAACTGGTTGGATGCTTCTTTTGAAGAAACCCTATGCATCTATTCCACTGTACAAATAAAAATGCACAGTGTCTGGAGGGCTGTAGAGTAGCATTACAGAAGCAGCAGGAGATGAGAGACCTGCAACAATCAAAAGGCTGCTAACAAACAGATTCTCTTACCTACAATAATTCTTTTGCTGAGTCTTGTTAGAGTTGTGGATAAGAAAATTAGAACTGCATCCCATGTTATATCAGTTTCCCTCATATTGTGTTCGATATTAGCAAGGTTTGACCGTGTATCCTGAAGAGTTTCCTTCACTACATATGACATTAAATTTTGATCAGCATTATTATTAGCTTAGTCTTATCCCAGTGTTGACACCAGCAATCAGGAGTAAGCATAAGAAATGTTAAGGACTGCAATGTAGAGAAGGTCAGACCATGATCCGATGGTTTCTGTCTTAAATTTTATGTCTGGCATATTCCTGTGGACAAGAACTCCAGGCAATACAGTTACCCACAGGCAGAAAGAGCAGGAGTGACATGAAGGAAGGAAACAGAGATGTACAGCAATTTCTAGATTTTTTTTTTGAAGACGGGTGAAGTTAGAATTACACAGAAATGGGTAGAGAGTAGGAAACTAAGGTTCATAGAAGCAGGAAGGGGATAAACCATGCAGAGCCCAGCAGACAATGGGCAGAACTTTAATTTCATATCAAAGATGAGAACAAATCAGTGAAGGTGTCTGAGAAGTGTCTGGAGTTTTCCTGAATGATAAGTAGGGCAAGATGAATTCTAAAGATGGCATGAAATACGTGATGAGAAGAAGCTGGAAGAGGCAAGGCATCAAGATGAAAGGCACAACAGGGCAGGCAGTGGGACATGTCCCTGAAATATGGTTCTGGATATCCTGTTGGCATTGAAACTTAGGGAAGAGTCAAAGGTTATATATTCTTAGTACATAAGCATAAGAGACAGAAAAATACTGAATCTGCAAACAGTTAAAGACAAGAGAAAAGGAGCTGGAATTTCATTGACACCAAGGGAGTTTCTTTCAATCATGATACCACTAAACTTTCCAAATGCCTCTGAAAATATTTGTTGAGGCATGACTTATCTACTTTCAAAAACACTTTTGCATTCCAAGAGATAATATGGTTAGAGTCCTCTGCATGGGTTTCCATTCTGCAACCTTTTTTGAGGTGACTAATTCTCATGGAATTTCAGGGGATTTGATAATTTAAATACCTTTACTTCCATTAAAAAACCTAGCTACCTACTGTTAATAGATACATAAAGAACATGAAGGCATGGATGAAAATTTATAGGCTATCATCCAGAATGTTTGTAAAATGTCTATGATTAGAATAAATAGACATCTGAATATTTCTAATTAACATTTTAGTTTTGTGGGGTTTTTCTGTTGTTTGAGGAGGTAGGGTGGGTTTGTTTGGCTAGGGGTTTTTGTATAAACTGTACCTGAACCAATCCTTTAAATGTTCACTGAGTTAGGAGTAATGTGTATTTCAAATGTTATTTAACCATTCCTCTGCGAAGCCATTTTATTTTAAACAAGTGGTAAATGAATCACTTGCAGAGGTCTCCGCAGGATTGAAGATTAATACTGTTTTCTCCGGCATGAGTCGTTCAAATTCATCCTCTAGAAAACAATAGAGAACACTGACTACCCTTCTGGGAAAATGCAAACAATTCCGTAAAGTCCGGGGAGGTTTACATTGCAGTTGTCATATAAAATTCAGGCAAGTGAAACCATAAAAGCCAAGCCAAAACAAAAAACAGTTTAATACAGGTGAATGTCAATGCCAAACAAGAAAAAGGCAGTGAAGTTGCAGCTTGTCTGGGTGACTTCAACACAACAGAACTGCATGCATACAAGGAATTTAAAATGAGGGAAGAACCTGAATGTGAACAAAACTGAAATTAAAATCGAGCAGTATACTGACTGAAAGCGAGGACAGAAAATGCAAGTAGCCAGCTGGTAGCAAACCTTAGCTATAGCAGATGTGAGTGCCGTTAGCTCTAAATGCATGTTAAATTAAAGCCAGCATCTGTTCTTGCAGATATGGCCTCAGTCATCTTAAAAGAAAGATTAATTTGGAAATCAAAACTTTAGAAAAGGATTAATGGCAGGGTTTGGTAGAGCTAGAGAAACCTGATGTCTGATAACCATGGGCAAATGTTCACAGTCCTGTTTTTTCTGCAGCTCCGAGTGAGTGGTGTTACATAGGAGCTGGTGAAGGTCCTGCACCTAGAAGTCAACAAAACCTTTTAAGGATGTGAATATGAGATTCAATGATTTGACTTCTTTCTAGACAATCAAAGCTAAGCAAGTATTAAAATGGTGACAAATGATGAGACAAGGAAAGCAAAGTCCCAAAGATTTCTAAATAACAATCAGCATCTAACTCTGAGCAGCACTTATACAAAGAGAAACAAAATTATTACAATACCAGGCACCATAAAATACTGGAACCTAGAAAAATGAAAGCAGTAAGAATGAGTCAAAAGTTCAATCACACAGTTAGCGAGCCTGGATGTAACTTCAGGAAACTGAGGAAAAGGACTTTCAAAATGATGAAGGGATTACAAATAGTAAAATAGGCAGTAGGAACTATCATCAGAGAAATCACAAACAGAAAAGAAATTGTGTCATCCAATCAGAGTACTGAGAGCTGAGGAATAAAGAAATGGAGGAAACATGCCTAGCTGGGCCTTCTGAACACTGTTCTTAGTCACCGAGTATTAAGACTGAGAAGAAGTACTTGGCAGCAGGAGGAAGGTTACAATAGAAGGGGTAAAGCGGCAGAAACCATCAGTGTTTGGTATCCTGCTCTTCTCATTGCACCATCAGTTATACAGTACTGGCTATCGAAATTCATTTTAATAAATAGGACGCTGAAATAACTGCTTAAAAACAGTCATAGAAAACTTGTTTTAGGGTCATAAATTCTGAATTAATATGTACATGCATTAGTTTATTTCTCATTTTGGGTCTTGCTGTAAAACATGAAGTTTAGTTTTATATGATTTAACAACCTTTAACTTAAGCAACAAAATTATGGTTTTGACCACCCATCTACCTTATTTCTAGAATATTGTACAGATTTAGAGCAATGTTGCTAAAGTAACAAGTCTAAAGGAAGAAGTTAGATGGCTTTGCTTAGTGAGGATCAATATTAAGTAATTACTTCTCACATTTTAATTTCTCTATAGTAAAGTGTAAAGTTTTAAAGTTTACAACAATATAAAACTTGAAGTAATCATAGTTTACTGTTTAATGGTGTGGAGCAAGGAAATTTTTAGAGGTAATGAGTCAATGAGACCATGTATTCTTAAATATTTATGCTACTTCTGGGATGGTTGTGCAAGAACTGTGGAGTATATGCTACTATTATTTGCTTCTCCCAGCATATTGCCATGTCCCCTGCACAAGCATGATCCATGAAATTTAGCCCTCACAGGTTAGAAATTACGTCTTTATGAAAGAATGGTACAATACTTCCATTAGAGAAATCTCTTATGAAGCCTCTGATGTTAACAACCTGATAATGGGGGTACAGGATGCAAGTTATAATGATAAAATTGGCTAGCTAGTATAATGTTGTTGAGTGCAGATTACTACACGATTTGTACAAAATGGAATTTGTTGCTGCCAATTTTTTTCTTATTTTGTACCGATAGCAAACATATCTATTTTGTTATGTTGGGCTGACATATAGAAACCTCTTGTCTTTAGCAGATATGTCTTGCCAATATATTGGTTTATGAGTTTTCAATAATAAATCCGTGATGAAAAGTTCTTTTGCACTTTTGTTGACTGAGAGTTGCTGTTTGAATGTTGAGTAAAAATTCATTTACTCTCACAACATAGATAATATCTGAAAAGATTATTATCCCTGATGGTAGAAACTATCTGCTAACCTCTCCATGCAATACTAACTACCTGGAGTCTATATTTGAAAATAAAAAAACAAAAACATGTAAGCACGATGTTCTTGTGTAATGTCTCCTATTGTCTTCCTAGTATGCATTTTCATCATTCTCCCAATAAAATTATAAATGCTATTACACAGTAAACATTAGAAATGTTATCCCAAATAAAATAAGCTGAAAAGAGAATAGTTTCATTATTTAAACAAAAGAAATATTGTTCCTACCATATTTGCTTCAGGAAATTGAAAAGTGAAGATGGGATAGGGGATAGAAAAAGGACTGGAAATTTGCCCTTCAGTTTCAACCCATTTGGGGTTGAAAATAAACTTTTATTTTTAAAATAAACTTTTCTTAAATAATGTTGTTCAAATCATGGACTTGTAGTGTTAGCAACTCATTTAAATAGCCACACTATGAAAATGGTTGGTCAGCATTGTATTTTAATGACAGTTTTGCCCATAAGAAGTGCAAGACATTATTCCATCAAAAAAATCAGAGTTACTGCCATCTACAAATGACAGGTTGAATCCATGTGTATCAAAGAAGTCCATGGCATTGGAAGAAAAAGTAAAAATAATATTTTGGTCTAGAATTGTAACTGATGAAAGAGACACTCTAAATAACATAAAAGAATTGCTCTGGCCAGAGATTCCTTTGATATATGGGTAATTTCAGCTGCTTACCTTTAGATTAAAAATATTAGTAGTGGTGTTCTCAGAAGTCAACACTAGATACTTGAATAATCCTCACAGATGTTCATACTTTAAATAGGAGAGGTACTGTCATTCCTACAAAATAAACATGTAGTAGGATGGAAAGGAAGAAATCCCTCCAAGATGTTGAAGTGTAAACATGGGTACTTGCAGCAAAGTACATGGAAAACTACAGTGGGAAATGAAAAAAGTTGTGGAAAAAGTCAGATTGTAAATTATAAGGAAAAGGGGAGTGGGTAAGTCTGTCATTTAACCCTGAGCATAAATGTTCTAATTGATGAGGTAGCTAGGAATGTAAAGCTGACACAGATGTACTACTCAAAGAGAATGGAAAGCGGTGTACAAGAGACTAAAAAGGCAGGAATTTTTAGTCCTCTTCAGATTCAAGCCAAAGAACGTCTCTAAAATTTGTAATAGGGATATGGGCTCTAAAAAAACCTCAGTAGTTAATCAGAAGCATTAAGTTCAATGATCAAATTGGAAGCCATAAAAACCAAACCAGAAATCAAAAGCAAACATCAGTAATAGTTCAACCATCTTGACAGAAAAGGGAACATGGCAAATTCCTCCTATTCTTGAATCTTTAAATCATGACATAATACGCTTGTTTGTTCCAAGTTTCTGGACTGTGGGTGCTGACCCCCTCTCTTTCCCCAGTGTCAGAGAATGCAATCGGGGAGTTGTGAAGCATTGAAAATTTACTGTGCTCTTCCCTACTCTTTGCACACCTTTTATCTTCAAGGTCAAGTAACTTCCATTCACCTCTTAAACTCTCCCAATTTATACAGATTTACTGTCACCGATAATTCTTACACTATTTTATAAAAAATTGGGAAAATCTAACTTAAATGAGAAACTTCAACTTAAGAAACTCTAAAAGGGCTTACCTAGTTCTGGTCACTATATTTAGTGATAGAACAGGGAAGCAAATATATCATTATACAGATTAGCTAATAATGTATAGAGCTGTGAATCTTATGTTTTAAGTAACTACCTGTAAAGAAAATGAAGCACAGAAGTATTTTCATGAGGAATAAAAACTTACATTTGGTTAAGAAGGAATTTTGTACTTGGCTGTTTCTGTAGCAATGCATAACTTCTACCCTGGCCAAGTTTTGTGGGTACTGACTGCTTTTGCTGCTTCTGTCTTCATCTCTGCTTTGACAATAAGTTATGTTTCCTGTGCTGTTTGGATTACTTTTGTGTTAAGACACTTAAGTCAGGCTGTAGGTACCACTTGAGCCATTTGTCAGAGATTCAAATAGTAGTTTATTTTAGAAACCTCTTAACTAAATTCACTGATGTGTTAAATGTGCATGATAAAGTCTTAAATTATCCTGTATATATTGCAGCTACATGTAACAGGCCTCATAAAGTTTAAACATCATAACTTAATCCAGACAGTGAGAATTTGTAATTACATTGTGTATCCTGGGAGCTTGTTTATTACAAGTTCACTAATGTCTTTGTACTGATTAGGAGCAAGTAGTTTTTCCAAAAAATCCTCCTTTTTGTCTGACATACTGTTTTCCGGGACACTAACTTCAAGATCAGACACGTTAGATGGCAAGTAAGAGCTAACTTTAGTTACTGACTTCTTTTCTTCTGCACAGGTCTGCCCCTTTCCTATATTCAGATGAGTAGCAGATTTAACTTCTTTGCTTGTTGATATTTGTTTAATATGTTGATCACCCCTGTTCTCTTCCTTACTGATCTGTTGGGCTTTCTCCTCTTCATCTAATAATGATGCCTCCATCTGAGCAAGGTTAAGTGAGTCAGAGGATTCAGCACTAGTTCTTTTGCTGGTTTTAAAGTCACGGTTTTTCCTCGAAGACTGGACTGGAGATGAAGCTGAAGGAACTGGCACGAGATCTGAAGTACTTTCAGCTTTTTGACTTGTCTTTGAAATTCTAGACCTGCAGGATTCTGGCTCTGTATCTGACCTACCTCGCTTTGGGCTTTCAAGACACAGAGGTTCAGGACTGCTGTCAAGAGCTTCTGAGTCTGTACACTCAGCACTGGTGAAATCTTCGGAATAAACTGTGTTTTCAGGACTAGCAACAAAGTCATCCGAGTATATGAATTCAGAGTTGTTTTCAACACTCCTGCTGAGGCTGGGCTTATGACCACTTATAACAGATGTGTCATCATGCTCCATAGTTTCATGATGGATTAAGTGTATTGCTTCCTCGTTACTTCCCTTTGCATTAGCATCTGATGGGAACGCTGCTAAGAGTTGAGCTTTTGCATACTTTTCCTCCTGAGCAGATTTTAACACAGTTTCCTCTGGTAAGGGGGTTGTAGTTACTTTGTATGGATGTTCCTTGCTTGCAATTGCATCGTTCCTCCGTAAACTTGCAATAGTCTGTTCCTGCAGGTCTGGGGACACATCTACTGTCACAGAAATGGACTCTGAGAGAACACTGTTTTCTAATGAAGTCTGGACAGTTTTATCCAACTGATTATTCCGCTTTGAACTGTCTCTCTTGCTACAATGCCTGCAAGAAACCACATGCTGTTCTCCGGCATTTCTGAGCAGCTTTCTGTTGAGTAAGGGGCTTCTTTCCTTCAGCATCTCCATTTGCTTTTTTCTGTACTTCTCCCTCCTTTCATGAATTATCAGCTTATCGGGGTTGGTCTGCTGCAGCCGTAGCCTCAGTGTATTTGTCAGCCCATACAACAATTTCTTTCTGGGAGGTCTGTTCTCCTTGGCTTTGCAGTTCCTTTCAGCAGCTGGCTGTCCCTGGAGCACAGCTTTCTTAGGTCCTCTCCCAGCACCAGAAGATACTGGTGGGGTGGCCTCTTGCCTGCCTTGTTTGAATCGGGGGCTCACAGCTCCACTGCTCCCACCAGGCCTCACAGGTGCCTCTGCAGGCTTGAGGGCAGCGGAGGGGCTGGGAGGCCGTGAGGCCCTTCCACCACCCCCCGGGGCCTGGTAAAGCCAGGCAAGATGTGGGTGGACAGCAGCAGCAGGCACAGCGCTGTGGGTGAGCACCGACAGCTCGGCCAGCAAGGCCCTGAGTAGCGGCAGCTGCCCCAGGGTGTTGTGGAGCTGTCGAGAGCTGGCGGGGTGCAGCAACGAGGGCCCGGCACTGGGACCCGGGGGATTCTGGCCCTTGTCTTTCTCCTGCGATCTCCTGACCTCGACGTGCTCCCATTGCGCCGCGGCAGCCGCTGCTGGGTGCCGCTGAGGCTCAGCCGGCTCACGGCTGTAATAGAGCAGCGGAGGGCAAAAGACGTTGCCTTCCAGCTCCTCGCTCTCCTCCTCCTCCTCCTCATTCGCCTTCTCCTTCTCCTCTTCCTGGTCCCCCGGCTCAGGGGAGGTGGCAGATGGCGTGGCAGCGCGGGGGCTTGCGGGGCTTGCCGGGGGCGGCTCCTTGCCGGCCTCCAGGCAGGTGAGGCGGTAGCCCAGGACCAGCTCCCCGACGGGGCGGCCCGCGGTGTCCCGCAGCGCGAAGCGGCCGCGGCGGCCGCACGAAGCGGGCGCTCCGGGCCGGTGCAGCAGCTCGGCGGCAGCAGGGGCCAGGGGGACGGCGCAGCTGCCGAGGAGGCGGGGGGGCCCCGGGGCGAGCCCAGCGGGCAGCGCCAGAAGCAGGGCGCGGAGCGGGCGGCGGCGGAGCGCGGCGCTGAGCGAGCCCCGGCGCCAGCGGAACAGGCAGCGCTTGCCGCGGCCGAAGGGGAAGGGCTGCCCCGGCCGCAGGGGCGGCGCGGTGGCGGCGGGGCGCAGCACCAGGGTAGGGAATTCCAAGAGGCGCAGCGCCACGGCCGGGTGCTCCGCGGGGGCTGGGTGCTCCGCGGGTCCCGGGTGCTCCGCGGGTCCCGGCCCCGCCACCCGCACCGCCTCCACCAGCAGCTCCAGCGCGAACAGCCCCTCCATGCCGGCCCGCGGGCACAGCTCTCGCGAGAGCTCTGTCTGTGTGGTGTGAGGCGCGTGGGCGACGCGGTCGTTCTCTCGCGAGAGTTGCGCCGCGGGCGGTTGTTCTCCGTCCCCGCTCCCTGTCCGGCGCATCGCGGGAGGCGCGGGCTGTGCCGTGGGCGCCAACCCCCTCGTCACCCCGCAGCGCAAGGGGAGACCATTGAGATCATCGAGTCCAACCTGTGACCGAACACCACTAAGTCACTTAGACCATGGCACTCAGTGCCACGTCCAATCTTTCCTTAAACACCTCCAGGGACGGTGACTCAGCCACCCCCTTGGGCAGCCCATTCCAAAGTCTAATCACCCCTTCTGTGAAGAAATTCTTCCTAATGTTCCACCTAAACCTCCGTGGCACAATTAAGACTATGCCCTGGTCACGGGAGTATATTTCTTTTCAAAACAAAACCCAACATTTTGGTTTCAGTTGCAACTCAGAAATTAAAAAAGTGTTTTACTTTCCAACAATCCTGGTTTCTACTAGCCACCATTTAAAGGAGACTTGTGATAAGACTTCCTTAGGTTGCATATTACAGAGGACTAATTTAGGAAACAGGCGTGGTGCAGAGGCAGGGTTTTGGAGCCATGATTCGTTACCTGCTACCACCCCAAATACCACAAGGTATGTATTTGGATCTCCATTAGTTACATTTAGTATTCTTTTTAAAATAGCTCTGGTCCTTCTCAGTCTTCCTTTCTTAGAAATAGACTTCAAATTTTCTTGCCTTTTTTTTTTTTTTTCAAAGACTGGAAGACTGAGGAATTTTGCTGATTCAGTGAAGTCTTTCACTGACTTTGTTCATACCTTGAAGTACTAACATTTTGTCTCAAAAAATCCCAACCCAGACAATTGGTATCATTAGCAGCAACTCAGCAACTTTGGTTTAAATCTATCTTTTGAAGGCTCTGAAATGCCTTTTTTCCTCCCTTAATTCCTGTACAATTTCAGATTTATCAATGTCTCAACACAAAGAGATATGTCTGTACAATTGCATGCCTGTTTATAGATGAAGTATGAAAAAAAAAAAAGATCTTGGAAAAACATGGATTTTTCTGGATTCACAATTAAATCTATTTATTCTGGTGTTGTTCTAAAGATTGCATTTTTTACAGCTCAAATGCTGGAGTAAAGAGCTGTTGTTCACCTGGATATAAAATTGCTCTTCTCTGTGAAGAATGTGCAGGGCGATGCTTGGAATTTGTGCAAATATTTGGCCTGGTGGCACTCTGATTCAGAAAGGAGTCAGACAGTCTGTTGGAATATTCAGCTGCAACATAATAGCAGTTCTTAAAATACTCCAGCTTAAAATGCCACCCAGAGAAAACTTATTTAGTCTTTTCTCAGTTGTCTGTTGAGTCAGCCACTTGTGAAAAGGCAATAAACAGGAAGAAATTCAGGAATTAGCGTGGCAGCCTTCGATAACTCTCTTCTTCAATTCAGAAAAAAATGAAAATTTATGAAATACAGAGGCAAGGCATTTGAGGGGTTTTGCAATATATTTAGATTTCTCTCTTGAAGACTCTAGAAAAGGTTTTGAAAAGGAATAAAGTCAAATAAGAAACCTAAATCTATTCAGAAATTACTGTTTACATCTGTTTCTGTATATTGTGCAGAGTTTTGCAGGGAACTTTGCTGTTTCCTGTGTTCAGATTCTACTTTATGATCCTTAATTCGAGCTGACCCAGATCTAGTGATGTATGGAGCAGTCTAGGAACAGTTGCAATGGTATTATTGGCATTTTGATATCTATCAAAATGAAGGATACTGTGCTTTTTTCCTGTTTCTCAGGGTGTACCCTCCTATCCACAAAGTGCCCCATCAGTTGGGTGGTCAGAGCAGCTGGTACAGAACCTACTCAGACATACAGCTCCAAAATTCCTCCATGTTGCCACCATAAAGATGCTTGTTAGCTCCTGTTACTTCAGTGTGATAGCTCTCACGTTTATTTTCATTCTCTACTATCTTTAGCAGACTTTGGGACTGTTAAAATAAACATTCTTTGCCTAGTAATGTGGCGCTTCTCCATTTGGCAGACATTTGGCAAACAAAATTTCATTGCTGTCCGTAGTATTTTATTTTTTCAGAGTGGTGAGAGTTACGGCTTGTGGCTGAACTACGTCTACAAAGTCAGCAGGGGTGGCACACAGGGTTGTTTTCTCATTACCTCATGGAGGGGTAGGGGAAATTGTTGGCCTTCGAGATGCATGTGAATCTGTGGCTTTCACAGCCAGCTTAAAAATATAACCTGTGCCAGCTTGTCTTCTGATTCCAAATTTCTTCAAGGATTAATGGGACTGCGGCAAAACACAGCTTCTCCTCCTGTACTGAGCTGTCATCATCATCTTTCTTAGATCCAGTGAAACTCGGTCCAAGTAGACACCTAAAAGAAACATGGAAAAATCTGGCAAATACCTGAGAGAGAATGATACTGTGAGACCCAACAGGAAGCAGGATGTCACAAATACAGGAGCTCAGACAACTGTATTGAACATAATAATGAGACATACCCATAAGGGTCACATATGGGGTGATTTCCTTTATTTAAAAAAGTTCTTATTAAAGGCAATAGATGATTTTGCTTAAAACAATAGTGAAGGGTCAATCAGGATTCAGCTCATTGAATTTTCTTTGCATAATACCCAACAACATGCAAAGCCAGTTTCCTTAAATAACTAGGTGTCATGAGCACATGGAGGCTTTTCTTTCAGTTTTTTATTTTATATAAACCATCATGAACTCATTTGGTATTAATGGAAATCCCACATGTTCACACGCTGTCATTTATCATTAATTAATGTGTCATTGTTTAAATTGTGTTACTCCCCATCCAATAGCTGTGGAGCTCTCAAAAGTTCTCAAAAGTAACAGATTTATTTTCTTTGGCTCCATGGTTGCAGCCTGTACTTGTCATGCACATATATACTGAATGAGGAAAGGATTCCAGGTGCTTAGCCATCCAAAGAGGACAGCTTAATCACACAACAGCACATATGCCTGTATAGGTTTGAGAAGCAGACAAAACCTGCAGCAGAAGTTTTCATCAAGGTATAGGGATCCTTACGATTCCTGTTGTAACTGCAGAGCAGGAGAGGTCCTTGGCCCCTATCACAGACATTCTTTCTCTAGGCAGTGATTTTTCAGACTCATCATCTCCTAAAAGGCTATGTTTACAGCATTCCTCTAGTTCAAGCTGGGAACCATTGGGGGCAAATTGCAGTTCAAATATCTGACAGAGCTTCTGACAGTGAAGGCTCTCGTGAGCCTCAGGATGGTTCAATTCAATAGTTAGATGAGATTTCATTAAAATAAAAATTGAAGATGTCTGCAAATATTTGAGTAGGAAACAGCTAGTGTTGTGTGCATTGTACCATCACACTGATGACACTCATTGTTTAATCTGTCATAATTACCATTGTAAAGTATGTTTTTTCAGAGGTTTTTTTTTCAGTACAGCTGTTTTGTTCAGTGCCCACTTTCAACCTTTATGCTGTTTCTCTTTTTCCCTTTAAAAACAAATTAAAAATAATTTGACTGTTTTGAGAGCTCTCCTTTAGAGAGAGCAAAACAAAAGAGCCAGGAATGTTGCTATTCAGAGCTGGACCAGATCCTCCTCACTCGATGTGCACGAGGCTGAGTGATAGCCAAGTGCCTTTGCCCAGTATAAAGGAGACAGAAAATTTCTATTCCACTTAGTGAACTGGAGGTATGAACCTGCTTGTTGAGGCTGCAAAAAGAAGCATCAATTAGCCCTGTATTTTTCATGTGCCTTCTTGTTTTCCAGGGAGACGTGGTTGAAGTCCCATGGTTCAGTAAGGCAGACTGGGAGAGAGATGGCTCTCTAATGAATGTCTGACTTGCCTGGCAGTGGAATTTCCACTCAAAAGTTGAGGTCCTCTTCTTGGTTAACAGCTGTGTTCCTGGGATCTCAACAGTGATGTCCCTCTTTCATGCTTTTTCCCTTCAAGCTTCTGTCCTTACTCTTGTTCTGCCAGGCAGCAAGCACGGTGTACTTCCCACTGGTGTCCTGCTAATGTCTATAACTTGCTGACTTACCATGGTGGTGGCTGTGATGTGACACTTGAATATATGGGGAAAGGACAAAATCATGGCCTGTTACATGGCTGGAGTGATTAGAAGGAAAGAATAAACTGTATTTTAGGATGATAAATGTGGGAATCTGGAGATCTAGCTTCAACTCTCTCTTTTGACATAGATTTCCTTGGGAAGATTTCTGTGCCTGAATTCCTCTCATAAGACATGACCAATTTTCACAAAGATGCTGAGTGGATAAGTACTCCCTGGAAGGGAATAAATATCTGATTTGCAGCACTCCTGCCAGCCCTGCAGGCCCCTTCCCTGGAAAGTGATGGCAAGTGGCTATCATCCGGATGGTTTTGCTTGCCTCTGAAATTTAGTACCACAGCCCAGAGTGAGACCACCAGCCCTTCACAAGCAGTGAAGAGCAGCTGGAAGTGAGCAATTCCTTACGGCAAGACCCGACCAGCTCTTTCCCACATTTTAGAAGTGGGCACTGCAGCACAAGGGAGCACTGAGAGGCCAGTGCTTCTACAAGGTTCCCCGTGTTGCCACGCAGGGCTGTTAGGCCCTGAAAATGTGGCATCCTGTCTGAGCTAATTATCTCCCTGGCTCTTGAGAGGGCCAGTCCAGGCACGGCACTGTGCTGACACAACTGTCCTGCTGCCGGTTCCTTGGCTGGCGCTGTCTGGGGGATCCCAGCGCTGCACTCCATTGCAGAGCGTAGCTGTGCCTGTAGGAACTTTTCACAGGTAATCATGGTGCTGGAAAAACATTTAATTCACTGCAATGCGAAGAGACCCGTGGGCTACAGCTAGGGAGGAAAACAGGCTTGTTTCTCTTGTGCTACACCATGTATTCTGCATGGGCAGGAAGACACATGTAAGCCCCTGACACATGGTCAGATGAGAGCTGTGCCGTTGCA